TTCTCTTTGTAACTTTGAATGATAAGAATAAGAATGTTCGAAATAGTATTATAACTTGTGGCTCCCTCACAAGCGAATTTCTTGTTATTGATTCGATGAGTCACCATGTTCTAACTAACTGTGTAATATTTTGTTAGTTCATTCCATTTTGTCTATGTTAATATACTCAGCTCTTTTCCGGTGCTGATTTAACGAACAGTGAAAAGGATAAAATGTTTGTATATTTAAAATAAGTTTTAATCAATAATTTTTGTTGACATAATATTAGGTCAACAGGAAATACACTTGTGGAACTTCATCAATTTTTTGAAGATGATCCAAATGATTATCAATTGGAGATGGAAGCTGAAATTCGGCTTAAAGCTCTTTATTCATGTCTTGTTGTAAAGATTTTTATTTAAATTTTCTTTGAATAATTAATAAAAAAAAAAAAAGCAAAACATTATGTTTTTTTTTTTTGTTTATTCGTCGAATTAGAATGCAACATCAAGAACAATGTTACAAATTGGTTTAAGTGGTTTATTAACATATCTTAAAGCATCTCAAAGAAGTCCTATTATTGATGAATTACTTTTATCAAAAGATTATATATCAGAAATTATTACTATTGCTGCTGATCATTTTACAACAGTTAGTAGAAAATTACTGAATAGATTTTTATTCATATGATAAATATCGGTTGTTTTTTTTTTTTATTGTATCTCTTCCTACAATACTTCTATAGTATTATATAATTCATATAATATAGCTATTTATTATTTTAGGCACCATTACTCTCAGCAACATGTCTTTATGAATGTATGTTGCATTATCCAAAAAAATTTTCACCATTTCTTATTGTATGTAATAAAAATGATTTTTGATATAAATTAATTAAGAATTTTTTGTTTTTTTTTAAGAATAAATTTCGTCCATTATTACCTCGTATCATCTATAAAAAAATGTCTGGTCCAAGCGAAGTAGAAAAACTTTTTGATTTGAACATAAAAACAAAAAAAAAAAGTACACGAAAATTTTTCTTGATTTAGATTTGTTGCAAATGTATTGCTCATTTATCTGTACTTGGAATACCATCAACTGCAAAACAAGCTAAATCATGGAAAAATGAATATGATCGATATCTTAAAATAGCTTCTCTTCTTATTGATCAACTTTATTCAGGAATAAATGGTAATACGAAATAAAAACCATATCAAAATATTTTTTATTTCTTCTATTCTTATTAGATTCTCTTTGTTCGGATGTAACTGATTTTGAAACAACATTAACAGCTGAAATTGGTGATGTGATTTCATCAACTGATTATGCAGCTATTTTTTCTAATTGTTGTCATATATTAAAATATCTTTTCTAGTAAGAATTTTTATTTAACAAAAAAATTATTAATTTATATATATTTTATATTAGTGTGCAATTGGATTCTTCAGTAGCAGTCACATGTGAACGAACATTTAAATTAATATCAAAAGTCGTATCAATTAATAGCCAACAATTTGTAAGAAGGAGTCCTAATCTTCTTTTTTTGTTTTAAATAAATAGTATAAACAAAAGAATCTTAAGATATTAGACAAAAAAACACAAGGTGATTGGTTAGGTGCACAGAGATGTACAGTATATATGCTGACATTCGCGTTTACTGTCACATAGAAAAATTTTTAATTCGAGAATAAAATTGAGTTTATTGTTAGGAGTGCAACAGTGACGATCATTCACCGGTTAACCGTCAACGTTGCATCTCTATTTATTGTAATTATTAAATGCATGATACGAGTATCAATTTATTTAGAACACACTTCATCGTAAACAACATTTACCAACATTACTTGGTTCTTGCGTTCAATTATGTGATACACTTGTTACTTTGTATGTTTTTTTTTTTTACTTCTTTTTCTTTAATTATTAATTTTTTTTTAGTAATGCATCATCATTTGCGTTTAATATTCGATCAATATTTACATTATTTATTTCATTACTTGATATTGTACGTCCACAAGCTGAATATTTGTAAGTATTTGGTTTTTTTTTCTTTTCATCGATGTTTTTTTGTTTTTGTTTTTTTAGAACATTATCAATAAATATTTATCAATTATTAACAAATTTATTAGCATTATTTCAACGACAAGTACGAATTGATGTTGATATATTACAAAAATTAATTCGTTGGATTATAAATGATTCAACATTACGTACACGATCGAAAATACCAATTGCATATTTATCAAGACCAGATCATAATTTATCTCGAATTGTAATTAATTGTATGTTGAAATTTTTATATATAAATAAAAAAAAAACAATTTTGTTTTTTTTTTCTTCATACTTTGATGTTTATTTAAAAAAGGTTCTCAACAATTGCTCAATATGTATTCGGATCATATGCCGAAAGATCAATATAATGTAAGATAAAAAATAAATTATTTTTGTTATAAATTAATTAATAATTATTTTAGCTTATTCAAAATCATTTTATACAAACACTTATGATTTGTCAATCAACAAATAATAGTATTAATAAACCATATGATGATGAAATATGTCGTGTTGGTTTATATAATATTCTTGAATGTTTATTAATTAATGAAAGAGCTGATTGTTCAACAATTATTGCTATTAGTAAAGATTTAATTGATAATGCTAACTTATTAGATCCATCTGTTAAAGTAAATATAAAGATTTTGTTTTATGAACTAAATTCTATCAAAATTTTTATTGAATTCTTTATTTTTAGGTTAAAATGGTTATACGTAAATTAAAACTTGTATGGCAACAAGTACATGATTCAACAAGTCGTTTATATCAACCATGGTCATTTTTAAATGTTGATAAACCACGAAAAATTCCACCTAATAATATTAATTATTCAACAACAAATGAACTTCGTAATGTATTTGTACCTTCAACAATGCCAATAATGAATAATATTGAAACATCATCAATATCAATGATGAATATAGAACAACCACTTTTAATGAATCCTCAATCTCTTTCAAAACCATCAGTTCATCAAACTCCTATGGAAACAACAACAACAACAACAAATGTATTTTTACAACCAGCAACATCAATGTCATATCCTACTATTGATGTATTACCTCAAACACAACCAATGAATCTCGAAACATTTATTCCACCTGTTAAAGGTAAATTTACGAAAATAATAATAAATAATTTTTGAATTATTTTTATAATAGAACATCATAAAGAAGAATATAATCAAATATCTGAACAAAAACAAAAACGACCAAAATTAGTTGATACACGACCTGTTGAAATTGATGATGATGAAGAAGAAGATGGAGCTGAACGTAAAATAATTCTATTTATTTATTTATTTTAAAGATTATTATAAATTTAGATATATTTGCTGATGAAAGTGATGAAGAAGAAGAAGAACATGAGAATGACCATATGGATGAATATGATGAAGAAGAAGAAATTAGTGAAGAAATGGATGAAAGTGATGAAGTTGATGATAATGAAAGTAATGATGATGACGGTAGATCAGACATTAGTTCTGATGATGATGATGATGATGAAAATTTACTACATACAAATGGTATTAAAAAATCCAATCAAAATTTAAGTGTTCATCAATCAAACGTTGATCTAATTGGTATAGATGGTTCACCATCAGATTCATATCTTCAAACAATGAATGATAATCTTCATAAAAAATTTCGTCGTCATAATCATTTTGATCATCGTTATTCATCTTTACATCCAATATCAGGAGATTTTTCACATAATAATAATAATCAAATCTATCATCTTAATCAATTAAATGGTGATTATAAAAATAATATTAATAAACCAACAGTTGGTAATGGTCAAGTATTAACAAAAAATGATAATAACAATAATAATAATGATGATGATGATGATGATATTGTATTAGTTAGTGATGATGATAGTGAAGATAAAAAACCAGAAACAAAAACAAATAGTATGTAGTTTTATAATAATTAATCAATCCTTTATCTCCTCTAATGGTCAATGAATTAGTCATTTGTAGAATGATTGTAGAACATATCATTTTTTTTTTTATTGCTTCGTCTTTGAAATATAGTCTTATAAAATTGATAATTTTGAAAAAAAAATCGTTTTTTACTTAAAGTAAATAAAGATCTTTCAAAATCTCTATATGACATAAATTAATGAAAGTGTCTACTAATCAGTTAGATATGTTTCGAATACATCGCGATTAGTTGACCAATTGCACACACTAACCCCCATATCATTGATCAAGGACTTACTCTATGAAGTCTTCATAGAACAATTAAGAAAAATGATAATATATGTATTATAAGCCTCAGCTCATAAGAAGTTAGAATAGTATTTATTTAGAATTAAATCTCTTCAGAAATAATAAAAAGGTCCAAAGCAAAGTAGATGTCTATTTGACAAGATGTGTTCAAAACACATACATTCTTTTTGACATTTATTTTTATCGGTTTATTTCCTCCGTTTTCCATGATTTCAATAACATAAGATAGATATGGTTTTTGCTCATTCAATAATGTGGTCAAAGAAAAACAAAAATCAACGCTTAGTGTGTCGTTCCATTTCTTTACTGCATCACACAGTTAACCGATCAACTAAATGGTCCCTACACAAAGAGGTAGACACTCGATGGATCAGACCCAACGGGGGAAAAAGCGAAAATGCTGTACTTCTAGACTAAGTTATAATTGTGCATCAGATCTGTTTAGTTATTTCAAGTCTCTTATCGACCTGTGTTATGAGTCCAGCTTACGTAAGTCATCGTCACCCTAAAGCCCAAATACTTCATTGTACTTCCAAAGTAGGAGTACGGTGAAGTATTTTGGCTTTATTGTCAGATAGGCTTACGTAGGCTGGACTTCGGCTAATATAGCGTAACACAGATCGATAGGAGACTTGAAATAGCTACACATATCTGATGCACAGTTATGACATAGTCTGGAAGTACGATATTTTCGCTTTTCCCCCCTTGATCAGACCACATTATTGTTATACTAGACATGCTAGTACTTTATTCGTATAGTTATTTTATCGATGGCTCTTCTGGAACTGCTATGGGGAGTAAAGGATTAAACAAAAAATATAAGAGAAAATTTTTTTATTTATCTAATTCTAACGTTTTGTTTTTAAGACTTATCACTTTCAGAACCAATTACATACGTATCTGATATACCAACAACATATGTTGAAACAGTTACAACAAAATCAATAATAACAACAACAACATTGATAGCAAATGATGCTGTATCGGCTAAAGATTTATTAGAAGATATCGATAGGGTACGATATTGTTTATTTCATAGAAATATAGAAAATTTCTTCGGAGCAAGGAAAAAATGAGTTTTTAATTTTATACGATAAAAAAAAAGTCTTCCAAATTAAGATATTTTTTTTATTTTTACTTGTTTTTTTTTTGTTTGTTCGAATTCATTGACTTTTTTGCTTCTCCTTAGTATAGTCTTCATGCGGTAATGTCATCCGCATAGAGACATCATCTGTCGACAATTCTACCACGTCATTAACTCTAGCTATTCAGGTATGCGCAGATGAAGGGAAGCATCTATATATAAATATTTCATTGAAAAATTGAATTTCCTAGTATATGTTTTTTTTTCTCTCTCTATGTGGCTTTTATTATTATTTTTTTCTTCTTCTTTGTATATATATATATATTAAATAAAAAATAAAATTTTATCTTTTCTTCAAAGGAAACAATGGAATCACTTCGTGATGCGGTTAATCTTGTTAGTGATGATTATGCAATATTCAATAATGATGAACAGAATTAGACTATCAATTGAAGGATTATGTTTATATCTTTTATTTCATTCTGGTTATGTATATTGTGATGACAGAAGAAAAGAAACAAAGTTCGTGTGTGTGTGTATGTTCATTTTGTGTTCGTGATAGACTTTTCTTCTCTTTCATTTCCATCGGTCTTTAGCCGCTCAGAAGTTCTTTATGTATTGTTGTTGTTCATCTTTGTCATTGTTATTCATTTTTTCTGCCTTTTTTTTTCTCATGTTTCTTCTTCTTCTACTTCGTCTTCTTTTTGCTTCTTTACTGTGTCAGACGGGTGAAAAGCAACGACAATAAAAAAACACTACAGATAACTAAGTAAATAAATAAATAGAACGTGTAGGAACATATAGAGTATTACCATTTATGTTTTGTCTTATACTTATGAAGAAAGTTCTCCAATTGATTAATCGCTTTGAAATATGAATTCTGTGTATTATATAGATCCTAATAAGACAATAAAAAACATCTGAAACTTTCATATATTATAAACTATGGAAATAGCTTAATATATAAAGCATATTAGTTTCGACTCACAAGTGTTTAACCAATTGAAAAACTTCTCTCATAAGTTTATTATGGGACATATTAAGTCTATATCAGATTAAAAAAAACAATAATTAATAATCTATTTTATTTCTTTATTACTTTTGATGATATCAATAATCAGACGTTTACACGGTTTTCGACGAACAATGTCAAATACTAGTACAATTAAAATTGGTACACACAATGGACATTTTCATTGTGATGAAATATTTGCTTGTTTTTTATTGAAAACTTTACCTCGATATGCTAATGCAGAAATTATCAGGTTAGTTTCAATTATTTAGAAGATTTTCTATATCATTTTTAGTAATCAAATTTATATGAACGAGTTATAATGAAAATCAGGAATATTATTTATATATATAATTCTTTCGCCTCTATAAAGAATTTTAATTCTATACTGATCAAACGTTGTTAGGATTAACCAATTTTGACATCCTATGTTCAAGCAAAGAGAGACTTGAACCAATGTTGTTATATGAAGATATTAGTTCACAATCCTTATGACATTGTCTGCACTATGTCCTACATTCGAAGTACTGACTGTAACTTGAGTAGAAACCAACGATACAAAATAATCGTATAAATACCTATTTTATGTGGATTACTGTACGATATAAGACAACCATAAAAATAGAGCTGATGGACTCTCAGTATGCTCATACTATAGCTAAAATGAAATATCTTGTGCTTCTTGTAAAGTTACACAACATCCTTTAGTAGATATCTTGGACCTTTGCAAAAATCTGAAAGAAAAGAATTTCACTTATAATCAGTTTCTATGATCTGTCAATTGTCCTGAAATTTTCAGTGAATACGGATGTTTTGTTGTTGAGATATTGAATGTAGAAAAAAAGTCTGACTTCTTTTCAACATGCAAAATTTCAAATTATTTCGATTTTTTTTATGAGACGAAATTACCTATAAAAAGAAAATTTTTTCTTTATGATAGTATCCTTCTTTAGTGAAATGGTTTCATCAGATGTCTTGATATTATATTTAACAATATCACTTATATGAATAAGAAAAAATAAAAAACTTCAGAAAAGAAAAGTGATGCTAAACAACTTACGAATCATAAAATGTTTATTGTTCGGTTTAAGAGTTCCTTGAGAATTATATTTTTATTTCTGTGTATGATTACTAAAATCATGTCAGTTCAGAAAAATGTTGATTTTTTGCATATTGAAATTATTCTAATGTCCATTATAAGAGATATTCAGTGTTTAAAATATTAAGACATTGAATAAATTCATGCACGTCACGCCGAAGGTAGCGCCCCTCTCACGAGGGATTGTTTTCGAACGGTAACTGGGTACATTACCCAGTCACACCTCAGTTTACTAAACCTTGACTGAAATGCACCCAAATAAATAGATACAAGTGTTCTTAGGACTACCATGATCCAGCGTGATAGTTTTTTGTATACTAGCAGCCTGATCATATGAGAATTGCAAGCAGTGGACAGAGGCTTTTCCTCTTCTTAGCGGATGCCAAAGCTACTGTCCCGTCTACAGTACCCTTCTGATAGTCTATCACTTCTGCTAAGCAGAAGCGTCATCACTATACCCTTTCATAGTGTACATTGACAACGTAGTTCGAACAGACTAGTGAGTAAGTGACGTTGAATGCCAACTGTTTCTCCTCTTGCAAACTGATTAACACGAGTTAGTTGAAGCAATCCACTCGAGGCAGCTTGGCCTACGGATTTCATCGACTTACTGAAGAATTTGCTTCTCACGTTACCAGGGTCACCGTAATAATACATTTCCGAGAACATGCATTGCTCACTCGAGGAGGCATCGTAGTATCGACCCCTGAATAAATTCTAATTAGAGAATACCATTTTAAGCTTATATTTGTATATTTTTTTTTCAAGAACACGTGATCCAAAGATATTAGCTGAATGTGATACTGTTGTTGATGTTGGTGGTGTATTCAATGCTGAACAAAGACGATTTGATCATCATCAAAAGTATATTAATTATTTCTTATATCTAAATATTTTATTTCGATGAATTTATGTTTTATATGTGTATATAGATCATTTACTGATACATTTCATTCTTTACAACCGGATAAACCATGGACAATAAGATTGTCAAGTGCTGGTTTAATTTATGTTCATTATGGACGAGAAATTATAAAAGAATTATTAAAAAAAGAAACTCTTGATAATAATATTAAAGAATATTTAACTGAAATTTTATTTAATAAATTATATGAAACATTCGTAGAAGAAATTGATGCTATTGATAATGGAGTTGATATTGGTGAAAATATGAAGTAAATATTTTTCTTTATTTAATAATCCTTTTATTACAAAACAACGTTTTTTTTTGTTTTAATTTCATCGTTTAGATATAAAATTCATACAAATCTTAGTGCACGTGTTGGTTATTTTAATCCATCTTGGAATGATCCAAATCCTGAAGAAAAAGAAGAAGTAAGTTATATTAAATAACTCTTCTACTAATATTTTTATTGATAAAAAAAAAATAAAGATTGGATTTAAACAAGCTATGGATATGATTGGAAAAGAATTTCTTGATAGATTTAATCATTATATTCATCAATGGTGGCCAGCAAGAGCATTACTTGAAAAAGCAATTGCTCGACGTTTTGAAGTAAAATTTCATAAAATTAATAAAAATTTTGTTTATTTAAATATTTTTAGATTGATCCATCCGGTTCAATAATTGTTTTAGATTGTCCATGTCCATGGCGTGATCATTTATTTGATATTGAACAAGAACAAAAAGAAATTCTTAATAATACAATTAAATATGTACTTTATCCTGATTCAAATAAAACTTGGCGTATACAAGCTGTTCCATTAAATAAAAAATCTTTTGAAAATCGTTTATCATTACCACAACAATGGCAAGGTTTACGTGATAATGAATTAAGTATAAAAGCTAATATATCAGGATGTATATTTGTACATGCATCTGGTTTTATTGGTGGTAATGCAACTTATGATGGTGCTTTAGCTATGGCACAACGTTCACTTCAATTAGAAAAGACACAATAATAAAAATTAAAAGAATAAGACATTGAGTTTTGTTTTGTAAAATATCAACTAAAGCAAACTGAAACACGAAAACAAAAACACTTGACAACATATATACTATAACTAATAAACAAATATATAATATATATTTATATCTATGTTAGCATTCAATCTCGAATTTGTTCAATTGAACATCAGTGTAAGATAAAAAAAAAACATAAATTTGAGTATAAATACTAACATTAATATATTATATCTGTACACACAAGATCAATATAATTCATTTCTCCCAGTCTCTAACATTTATAAGTAGATGAAAAGATGATTCTATTCTTTTAAAATACATACATTAAATTAAAAAAAAAAAAAAAAAAAGAAAAAAAAAAGTAACACCGGATTCTTTTATTTTTTAAACCATCGATTGTTGATGTGGTTGAATATAACCATCTTTATTTTCTTTTATTATATGATTTGTTCGTTTATGATATGTATGACATATATATTTATAACATGTAATAATAAGAAAACTAAGTGTAATTAAAGATATTATTAATGATATTGTTATTCCACTAATAAATCGATTTTTTTCTATACGTTTTTCACGATATTCAGCTGGTATATAATTTGTTTGATTAATCATATAACCAAGTGTCCAACCAACTTTACCTGTTGGAAATGATTTTGCAAAACTTACACGTTTTAAATCATCTTTTGTAAAACCAATACCATATGTTAATAAAAGCCATACATACGAAGCATCAAAACATAAAGCTCGTTTATGTTGTACATTATTTGAATTCATTGATTCTTGTTTATAAAGTATTTCATATTCTGTTTCACACTAGAATAAAATTATTTTATTTATTATTATTATTTTTTGTTATTTGTAATTTGATATCAATACTTACAACATTAATAAGACGTTTTTGTATTACGCTTGGTGAATAATCTCTTATTCTATGTCGTTCACTGTTTGCTGTAGGTGGTTTTGGCATACCTAAAAGAAATTATATTTTGAAATTGTTTTTTTTTTTTTTTTTTGTTAATAAATATATAGATTTTAAATACCAAAAACTAAATTATCAAATACATAATAATAACCAGAAACACCAATAAAACGAATTGTATTTGGTAATTTTGGTTGAAATGTATGATCAAATGTACAATATTCTTGTTTATATGAACAATTAACTGTTTTATCATTACGTTTACTATCAAATAAATTTTTAAGATGTTGACGACATTCGTAAGCATTACCAATACCAATAAATGATATTGACATATTAAAAGTATAATTAAATAATTGTTTTTCATTAGCTGTACATGGTGAACGAAATAGACTTGCTGGTGTTGTTGAATCATTAAGACCACGAGGAAAACATGGATCATGTATAAGAAAAGGTGTTGATGATGATATATTTTTTGGATCAATATTTAATGCAGAATTAAGAAGACGAGCTCGATATCGTCTAAATGCTTCACTTTTACCCCAACATAAATAGCTATGAGCATATGGACTATAAACTGTATTGAATAAAGTTATATTTGTTATATATTCAGCTGGAACTGGTTCATCACTAATATTATGTTTATCTAAGAAAACAAGACATTTTCATTTCTTTTGTTTTTTTTTTTTTTGTATTGTAATAGAAATTATTTTCAAAAAACTTACAAGTAAATGTTATTTGTGTTGAAGCTCCACCTAAATCAAGTACACCAACCATATATGGATCAAGTTCTTCTGATGAATTTACTTGTTTCATTCGTTTCTTTTTTTCATGACGATGTTTAAATTTTTCTAATAAAAGATTCGTCGTTATCCAACTATCAATAGCTTCTTCCATACCAGTCAATGTTCGTATCTATATTGAATTAAAATTAAGAGTTTGTTTAAATAGAATACAAGAAATTGAATGACTGATTAAATCGAATGATTTATTTACTTATTGATGAATGACTTTTTTTTTTTCTTTTTCTTAAATGAATAAAAATAATCAAATTATGAATGGTAGAATGAAATTGATGAATCGTATTCTAAATAAGTGCAATATCTGTAAATACAAAAGTTATATCAAATTAGAATGGATCAATGTAAATATATATGGAAGAGTACTCTTCCATATATTTTACGTTAATCACATTCTAATATGATGTAAATTTTGCATTTATCTGGAATGCGATCAACCATTATATAGTGCTTTTTTTTAAATGATTATTGTATTTTTGCTTAGAAACATTGGAAAAAAAACTGATTTTCGAAATTCGATTTGAATATCGATAAATTTCGATGTTTTTATTTTCAGATAGATACGAATAATAAGATCTGACAATTTCATTATTAACCATTTGCCATTTAGATTTGTCTTTGTACCAATTTGATATTCAGTTTTGACGTGATATTCCTTTAAGAGAGATGAGAACATTCAGTGAAAAGAAATATCGTAAAAAAATGTAGTATCTTCGTAGAAATTTGATAAGAACTCGAGTAATTTTTATGATATTTATAGTTCATTGAAATCTATATGATTCAAAAGTAATTATGTCAGAAGAAAACTCAATTGTAATTGTACATATGTGCTCTACATTTATTTTCATTTCTATTTATATTTATCTAATGTAATTAGAAAGAAAAAGAAAATTTCTTCTTAATTATTTGATTTGTTGATAGATATAGATATATATGAGTTTGTTATTGGTCCAAGAGTTTGTTTTTTGACCTAGATTATCAACATGTATATTGAAAAAGATAATATTTTCTACTACTACTAATAATAATAACATAGCATGTTTTGAATTCCCTATTGACGAACGATTTTTGTAATCTTTATAGGAAAAACTTTGTATTAAACATTTTAATATATTTAATCAATAGCATAGCTTGTTTTTTTGTTTATTATTCATTTGATTAAACTTACTTGTCGTGCAGTAACAAATTGAAATGGATAATTTAAAAATATTTCACGTATTGTTTCAAATATTTGATTTGCTCGTGTTGCATTACGTAAACTTGCTAAACGCATACCTGCTGTTGCACCAAGAAAAATAGGTGAAAATTTATGACGATTTGATGGTATTTTTATAACTGCTTCATTTAAACAAGGTGCAAAATAATCATATAATAAATGAAGATGATTCTCAAAATCAGATATAGCTTTAAGTTTAATAAATTCATTTGGTCTCATTGGATCACTTGCATTCATTGATGCAAGTCCACAAACAAAATATTGACTAACAGATGATGTTGTGCCTAAACCTTCAGATTTATCAGCTGGCCAATTATAAACAAACATTTCCGTATGAGAACTACCAGCATCAAAAACAATAGCATAACTAATAAGTGGAGCAAGATGAGCTCGATATATAACTGTCAAATACATAGCTATTGTGATAGCAAATAAAAATAGAGTAATAGCTATTCCTTGTGTAAAATTAATAATAGAACGAATACGATTTTTACGTTTTTGAATTTGTCGTTGATCAGCCATATGCATTGTTTAATTAATTAATAATATAAATGAATATTTTAATTAAAGTTTTTCTTTTGCCTCTAGAATATGAAGCATTAGAAAGTATAAAAAATAAATAAAACATGTGATTATACAGATATATATATATATACATACATACATACACACATACGTAAATATATATATATACATGTCAACATGTATCCATTGTGATAAACATTTTTACCACCAATAGATTTCTGTCATATATTACTGAAAGTGGACATTAATCACAAAAGAAAAGATGGATTATATATGTGTGTCTGTAAACGAAATATAATAAGTAAAATATTTTCGATACTTCCTATACAATATAATATTTTGAATGATAATGGAAGATAGTTATCGATATCAACTACAAGTTGATTTTAAACACTTATGATAATATCAATGAAGACGATATGGGTATATTTATATACATACATATGCAAGCGTTCTTATCGAATTGCAAGTTTTACCCATGTTTTGTTTCCTTAATATTTTTTGCAACTAACACAATATGACAAAATAGTCGATGATATGTACTTCTTCTTCTGTTTTTTTCTTCTTATATTCGCTTTTGTTCTATTTTGTTTTCTATCTATCCGTAATGAGAATAATTTATAAGGATTTAAAATACTGTTACATTTGTATCAATATGAATATAAAATCAATAATGAAAAATATTCAATTACTAATTTCTCATTACTTACATCTGACATTCACCGAAAGATTTCTTTTTTTTTGTGTGTTTCTGTTCTATTTACAACCTACAACTGTAATAAATTCAATACAAGACTTAAAAACCCTCAGGTAATGAATAGAGTAATGCTTATCTCTCACTTACCTAGAGTCAACTCATTTTCTTTTTTTTTTTTCATGGTTAGTTGAATACAAACGAGTAAACCTTTCAAGATGAAGATAAATGCTTATGCTTGTTTTCTTTTCCTGTGTAATTTCATTTTCTTTTTTGTAGAAAGATTTTCCCTAGTTTATTCAAACTAACACATAAGGGAAATCTTGCAAAGTAATTATGCTCAAGGAACTCTCTTTAACATATTATTAACAACGATCAACAAGAGAAGTGTTTTTTTTTTTTTATTATTCTCATACTCATTTCTTTTTTGTTTTTTTTCATTCAATATATATGTTATCTATAAAAAAAAAAAAAAAAAGGAAATCGCGCTGATTTTCCTTTTTTTTTGTTGTTGCTCAATTAAAGGCATACATGCTGAACATGAACGGAAGAGAATAGAAGACAAAATAAAAATGACTGATGGAATAGTTAATTTCTTTAATGTGAGCCTTTCCAAATGCCAATTTACCTCAGTCACATATATAAATAAGGAATATATATTCATAGAAATGTATAGACATACATACCCGATTTTTAATATATAATTCAGATATCATATTTGAAAATGAAGGATAGTATGAAGTTGATGATATCATTATTATTATGATTGATAACCATAAGATAGTCTCAAGGTTTTGAGAAAAGTAAATGTCAGCAGTAGTGAAAATTCTCATAGTTGATTGACATAGGACATTGAGTGGTGCCAATTTTTGTTAAAACACAATGTTATATACATTAACAATGACTATTTTGACATCATTTGAAATATTGTTAATCAAGTATAGTAGGAATATGACAAGTGTATCGAATAATGATTATTAATTATCAAATAAAAAAATGTGAACATTTTTATGTTCATTCTCAATATGTTCTTATAAATAGAATTGCACTTAGCTATATATACAAAAATAAAAAAAAAATATATTTCTAATCTATATGATTTTCTACTCGTTCCTCTTTCTGTGATAAACAATAACAACAAAAAGAACGCACTTTGTCGTCATTTACTTCTTTTTTTTTGTTTTTTTTCTTTGTCTTTCTTTTCTAATCAACTAGATTATAATGTAATTTTCAATCTATATACTGATAAGAAAAAAACAAAAACAAACGAATACGACATTTTTGAGTGTTCTAAAAATTAGTTTAACAATGATGATTATCATCAAATGTATCTAAGCATCTATTGAACTAGCTTGTTAATCAGTACATACACAAAAAGAAAACTATCTATTCGATAGATTATACCTGAAATGTTAGTTTTGATGTTGTTTTAATACAATTGAATTTTCTTTTCTTTTTTTTTTTTATTGTTGGTTAAAGATCAAATTACACTTTTTGTATATGAAATCATATAATTCTAGAATTTCATCTAAAATTTATAAAAAAAAAAATGACTTCACCTTTCATCAAAGTATATCGAGGAATATCCTTCTCTATCAAAAACAAAACAAAAGAAAAATATCAATAGTTATGTTCGTCAATTGTATAAATAGAACATTTGGTGTATAACAAAAGCATAAGTTATGATTGATTGATGAATGTTGGCAATTAACTAATGACCAATATATATAGATATTATTAGGTATATCGAGGATATTTTCAACGATATCACATTGCAGATAAAAATAAAATTATTTCATTTCAATATTAATATATGCCATTCAACTTCTATTATCATACAAAAAAATACATAAATTAACAAAAATATGTTTTTGTAAATAATATTCCATATTAGTATATATATAGTTCTGGAAAAAGACACTCATCAAACAAAGCGATCAATTAGATATCTCATATGTTTTTTTATTATAAGCAAATGTACCACAACTACCCCTGGATATGATTGATTGATATGTCACTCGCTCATATATGTCTGTCAAAAACTGACTGTTATACGATAGTCTCATGCTCAAATCAATAATGACATATTGACAAAAAGTTGAAAAAACATAAATACTAAGAGTTAAACTATACATAAGATTCAATATTATTTGAAAAACACTTCAAATTCTATATATGATTTTCTTGTACTATGTAAATTAATACAAGAAGTATAAAGTAACTTTTTTTAAAAGACATATGTCATGAAGAAAGAAAAAAGTATACATAGAAATCTTTTAAAATTTTATTCTAATCAAAAGAAAGAAATTGCATTTTTTTTCAAGTCAAAAACTATTTTGAAATCATATTGTTTGAGATGTCACTATAGATTTATGATACTTTTCAATTTGAAGTACTCTTGAGATGATAGATCAAAATCTTATCAAACGAATTATTGAAGCAATTTCTTTTTTTTTCTAAAAAAAGAACATCAGTAAAATGAAACATGTTGATTCTTCAAAACGTTTGACATTATTTAAATGAAAGAATCGTACTTGATAATATTTTAAATATTAAAAAAAAAAGAAAAATTACTTCAAATCAATATGATTAATAATGTAATATTCTAGAGTAATGGCGACAATATTTCTTTGTAATAAGTCTCTTAAAATTATTCGACTAATAAGTTTATTTCTAATTATTCTCCGCTACGAACAATACAAATAATAAGTCAAGTAGAAGAAAAAAAAAAAAAAATTTTTTTTACAATCTGAATAAAAGAAAATAAAACCTCCTGAAAAAAAAACTATATAAAAACTACTAATATTAACTAAACTATACAAATTTAATCGCTTTTTTTTTATATTTGTAAATTACAGAAAAAGAATCGAATGATGTTAAATTAAATTTCAAACAATTATCTTTCTTAATTATTGTTCTACGAATAGAAAAATAATTCAATTTCTAATATTTAATTTCAATAGTATATTCAAACTTTATCCCTACAAATAAAAATTTCATAGATTTACCTACCATTTTGAAATGTATTTATTGATTATGTTCAATTAATAATGAAGTTATATAAAAAGAAAAAAGAAATCCTTCGGGCACTTTGTACTAATACTTTTTATTTTCTTATATTTTTATTAAAAAGTAGCGTCCACATAAATCACTTCAAATTTCTTTTAGTGTTTAAGACAGTAGAAAAAAAAATGAAAGCGAAAATAAATTTAATGATCACTATACATAATATAATCATATCTTAAATTAGCAAATCCAGATCGGTCTAATAAAAACTAAAAGTGTACTAGATTATTTTTTCTTTCAACAAATTTTATATTGAGATACTTATATCTGTATATAAGCGAATCAATAAAGGATAGTAAATGAATTTTGTACATTCACTTGCAACAACTATTCATATCAAAAAACAATAAGATCATTACTATCATCTAGATTTCGAGTCTCAATAAAAAAAAATTAAAATATTATTTAATTTAGATTATTGTTTTAATTATGAATGTTAAAGAAAAAATAAAAGAAAGAAAGACATTAATATCGTATTTGAGCTTTTTTTTGTTTTTTAAATATCATTGATATTGTTTTTTGAGAAAATAATTCATAGAAAAAATATTAATACAAATAAATGAAAGCTATTACTTACATTCAAAACATAAAGACTACTTTACTCATATTCATCGTTTTTATTATGTAAAATTTTAAAAATAATTTTATGGATAATAAATTTGTATGCTATGACGAAGAATCTTTATTCATGAATAATCAAATGAATAAATCAAAATAATATCGAAGTAAATTCAATTTTTTGGTTTAAGAATCACATGAAATATATTATTTTTAAAGTTATTATTCAGATTCGAATATCATCTTACCTCTTACCCTACATTTGGCATAGATAGAGAAAAACATCAAAAGACTTCTTTTTATCACTTGGGTATTATCACTCACTCTAGGAGGTCGTACTAATGTTTTCTAACTTCAATGCCGTACTAATATAAATCGATATGCTATACTATATATCTCCTATATAGTTGATGATTTCTACACAATTCATCTCAAGAGACATATTTTGCAAGGAAAAATAAAAATAATAACACTTGCATTAGTCTAGTTTAGAATCTATACCAAAAGAAAAATATTATTACGTGACCAAATTATATATTGGTTTGGTAATAGATAGATCGATATTGAAAAGAATCTATAGATACTTCAATTGATAATCTCTATTTCAAAAAGAAAAAACAAACACCAAGCCTTTCCATAAGCATAGATGATAAAAATCATCTATAATTAATCTTTGTTGTTATCATAAAGTTCACATGGACCTACTACTACTCGACCATTTTTCGTGTAGTAAATTATTAAGATGTATCGTTTCAGATCATTTCTCTTTTCTCATTTCTAGGTCTTTGATCATGCATAAAGTTCTTACCGAAAATTATAAATAGATCTAATACAAAAAAAAACAATTCAGTTGTCAGTCTACATGAAAACAACGTGATAGGTATCATTCATTGTCTTACTAAAGTTGGTATTTATTGTCTTCCGATTGTATACGTCAATCCATTAGTGTATTACTACTGTTTTAGGTTACTAACATAATGGAATCTATTACTTATGAAATGATACTTCAATGCTATTATGAAAAACAATTCTAGACAACCTTTTTTTTTCTAATATTCTATATCTTCATATTGTCTATATGTCAACTGACATTCGTAAGTCTTTATATAACAAGAGTATTTATAGACATGAATATCTAACATGAGATAAAAATATTGATTTTTTGTTTTGTATTTTTCAATGTATAAGTTCAGATGATTGTTGAAATATTAAAATTAAATTCGAAAATAAGAAGGATATTTTTTTTCAAATTGTAATACTGTTCTATACAGACCTCTATCTAATTGAAATTTGTATATCGATTTATCATTTGTTATCCATTATAACCAACTGGAGTTAATTTTTTTTTTTTTTACAAAAGGTCATTAAACAAAATTTTACATTTAAACATACGAATAAATTTTAATATGTATTTTTTAAAAACAAGAGTGAATTTTCTTTTATTAAAATTATTTAATTAAAAAAAGAAAAAAAAAGGCTATATGTTTATATATATAAATTTTTGATAGATTGATGATTCATCTTTTTCTTTTTCGCATTTATTTGTTCTGTTGTTAATGATGTTTTCTCCTCCTCCCTCCTACACTTTATGCCACGTCGTTATTTTATTTTTCAATATTGTACTTTTTTTTTTTCTTATAGTTTAGTTGAACATTTTTCTTTTTATGATACTAATCAAAATATTAACATGTAACTAATATTTATTAAATAGAGGTATCTATGATATTTATTTTTTAATAATAATAATAAACTAATTATTAACGAAATATTAATATTTTTGAATTTAATACACAGTAAATGATATAAAGTTATTTTCAATTTTAAATTTAAATTCGATAAAAAAAAATAAATATACATACTCATTTATTTTTATTATTATAATTTTTGAAAATTTAACGTGTAGAGTTTTTTCGGGAAAGAATTGTTAATAAATGCTTTTATAATTATCTAAATGTATTTAAAACTATTGGTCTCTTTTTCTATATATTAAAAAAAAAAAAAGAAAAATTCATATTAATAAGTAAAATACTTTTAAGATTATTATTTAAAACAAAAAAAAAATAATCAATATGGGTTTAACAATTTCATCACTTTTTCAACAATTATTTGGTAAAAAACAAATGCGTATATTAATGGTTGGTCTTGATGCAGCTGGTAAGTTTTATTATTATAATGAATTTTTTTAATTTTCTTTTTTTTGTTCATTAGGTAAAACAACTATACTTTATAAACTTAAATTAGGTGAAATTGTAACAACAATTCCAACAATTGGTATATATTAGTTTTTTTGTTCTTTTAAAATATACAATTAAGTTTATTTTATAGGTTTTAATGTTGAAACAGTTGAATATAAAAATATTAGTTTTACTGTTTGGGATGTTGGTGGTCAAGTAAGTTATTAAGAAAAATATAAATATTTTATTTTTGTTTTTGTATTTATCAAGGATAAAATTCGTCCATTATGGAGACATTATTTTCAAAATACACAAGGTAAAATTACTTTTTTTAATTATGAAAACAAATAAAAAATATATTTTTTTTTTTTTTATTATTTAGGTCTTATTTTTGTAGTTGATAGTAATGATCGTGAACGTATTGGTGAAGCACGTGAAGAACTTCAACGAATGCTTTCAGAAGATGAACTTCGAGATGCTATTTTACTTATTTTTGCTAATAAGCAAGTAAGAAAGATTATAATATGATAAGAACAAAAAACAACAAATTTTCTTCATTGTTTTTTTTTAATTATTATAGGATTTACCAAATGCAATGAATGCTGCCGAAATAACAGATAAATTAGGTCTTCATTCATTACGTAATCGTAATTGGTATATACAAGCAGCATGTGCTACAAGTGGTGATGGTCTTTATGAAGGTCTTGATTGGTTATCGAATCAATTGAAAAATGTGAAATAAACATTTAAGTGAAAGAAAAAAAAAAAAAAAAAAAAAAAAAAAACATTTATATATATATATGCACACATATATATATATTCCCAAATTTTTTTTTTTTTTTTTGTTCTCTTAGTTCTTGTGCTTGTTGTTTTATCCTAATAAAAAACAAAACGAGAAAAAATTTCTCATTTTCTTTCTTTACTTAACTTTTATTTATTTGTAACTGCACATTACTAACTACTGTTGTTGCCTTTCGTTTCTTTTTGGTTTGGTTTCTTAATTCTTGGGTTACATATCTTTTTGAAATTGACTACGTTTTTTTTTTCTTTTTTTTTCTTTATGCAGTTGTTTCTTTCATTTTTGTCTTATTTCTTAAGTTAAAAAAAATAAAAATAAAATGCCATTGTATATGGATGTAATATCGTAGTATAATAAATTAAATTTTCATTTTTCTTTTGAGATATGTGTGAATCAGATAAGAAAATATTCGATGTATGTATTGTCGGCAGTTGTAATGTTGATTTAATCAGGTAAAATTTCATTCTTTCAATATATATATATAAAACTTAGTCATGATTTTTATAAAGTTATGTTGATCGTACACCTAAAATTGGTGAAACAATTGAAGGAAATAAATTTGAAAAAGGTTTTGGTGGTAAAGGAGCTAATCAATGTGTTCAAGCTGCTAAATTAGGAGGAAAAGTAGCCATGATTGGCAAAGTAAAACAACGATGATATCAAAAAAAACAAACACATTTCATTTTTTTATTTCATAGCTTGGTGATGACATTTTTGGTAAAGAATATCTCGATAATCTTAAACAATTAGGAGTTAATACTGGTAAATCAAAATCCTTACGAAAAAAAAAGAAAAAGAAAAGAATTTCTTCTATTACTTTATATATTTAAATAGATCATGTTAGTATAACAAAAGAAGCAGCTACTGGTGTTGCTCCAATTATTGTTGATAAAGAAGGTTTAATAAATTTTTTCATTTTATATGTATTAATTAATTAATTATATCTAGGACAAAATTCAATAATTGTTATACTTGGTGCTAATTTATTACTTAATGAAGATGATATAAAAAAAGCTGAAAATATTATTCAACAATCAAAAGTTGTTGCTTGTCAACTTGAAATTCGACAAGAAACAGTTGTTAAAACATTTGAAATTGCACGAAAATATTCAGGTAAATATAAATATTTAATAATGAATTTCGAAATTTTATTATTTTTTGTTTGTTTTTCTGTATAATATAAAGTTTTAACAATATTAAATCCTGCACCAATGTCAGTAAAATTAAATCAAGATTTATTAAAACTTGCTGATGTTATTTGTCCAAATGAAACAGAAGTAAAAATATCAAAAATACATTTTTTTTTTGTTTTTTCTTTTTCCATAGGCAGAAATATTATGTGATATGCATGTAGAAACAATTGATGATGCTAAAAAAGCATGTAAAAAATTACATGAATTAGGTTGTCCAAAAGTTATTATTACAATGGGTAGTCGAGGTGCTGTTATATTGAATGAAGATGGTCAATGTGAACATATTGAAATTGAAAAATGTTCTTCTGTATGTGATTCTACAGGTGCAGGTGATTCATTTGTTGGTACTTTAGCATTACTAATGGCACAAAAAGAAAAAATATCATTTAAAGAACAAGTTAAACGTGCTTGTCGTGTTGCTAGTCAATCAGTAGAAAAAAAAGGTACACAAACAAGTTATCCAACAAAAGATGAACTTCGATTTAATTTATTTGAATAATAATCAAAATGATTTTTTTTTGAGAGAAAATAAGTTTGATTCTTTGCAATAAAATGAATGCTTGTCATATAATGAATCTATTTTTTATTAGTATATGTAATAGGATGTTAATCGATTTCTTTTTTTCTTTTTGGAATTATATTTAATCAGATTTGTTTTTAAGAAATAAATTTAGAATTCTGTTATTGACAAAAATCAGCAATGTAGTTGAAAGTTTTTTATATGATATCAACCAAGATATGTAGATGTGGATAGGCATGTACTGATATTAATAAAGATAAGATTTATTCTTTTTTAAGAATCTATGAGAAATTTTTTGAACAAACTAATTAAAGTCAATTTCAAGATATTTTTAATTGGATTGTTTACATACAGTTTTGTTATGATTGAGCTGTAGTATTTTAGTAGGATGAATTTGGTGAGAATTTTTAAAATGCATGAATATATCTGATAGACTTTTAAACTCTTTCATGTTCTTATGTTATTTGTTGATAGTGAATTTTTATCAGAATTGATTTAGAAAAGATGAAAAATTTTCATCAAAAGTTTATTCAAACTTAAAGTAAAACCTACCTCAAAAATTCTATATATATATTATATCTATTGTTCATTTCAATTAGTTTTTCTTAAATAGTATTTCGTAAGAATTTTTGCTAATCATTTCTTTCAAAATTACCACAATATATTTAGAGAAAGGGTAATATACTATATAAAATTTGCTTAGAAAATGATAGAGATTTGTACTTGATGAAGAAAAACACCAAACAATAGTTTCGTTTTTCAAGATCTTTGATTAATCATTTGATCTCATTTCATATTTCTATTGCATTTGATTTCTTTTACATGATAAACTTTCGTTTGAACCTTTCTTTTTTTTATTTACTATTATATGATCTTTTTCTCTTGTTGCTTGGTAACAATCTCTACAAATTCGACATCTTAAGCCATATTTTTATTCATTTTTTGCCAGATATCCAAAGTATTTGCTATGGAGTAAATAAAACAGAGCCCTAGTTTATCTTAACCAACCAACAATGATGAGAATGAGTAACGTGAAGATGCTTTCAGCCAATCATGTTAAAAAATTACTAACGACACCTAGCGGAGCTTTTGAATGCCGATTTTTTATAGAAAACCAAAATCATCATATGATAGAGAAAAATTTTCTCTATCGACTGATACCTAAGTGATATTTGGCCCTTCTCAAAATCCAAGACCAGTAATCATGTTGGACTCGCTTTTGTTTCTCTTATTTCACTATGTTCTTTACCGTGTAGGTTCGGTCGGTTCGAAAAATGGTGGACAATGTATAATCAACATGTAATAGACAGACTAAATCTTTTCCTACATAATAATCTTTTTTCTTTAAATAGGCTGAAATGTCTATATATGCAGACATGTATATATATGTTGTGATATGTACAGATAAGGTCAGTTTAATACACATATCAGAAAAAAATCAATGGGTAATTCTTCATCATCAGGTAGTACTGGTAAACAAGTATGTATTTCTCTTCGTGGTCTGTCACATGAGGTTTGTGTAGCAGCTACACGAGCAGAATACTGGCGACAGGTATGTTTGAAAATAAAAAATGAATTAATATATGAACAATTACTTCTCTTAGTTGGTACAAAATTCAAGTATTTCAATTAGAGGTACTGGTAATTATGTACCAGTAAAGTTAGAATCAATGTGTAACGATGAAGATGAAGCAAGACTACAACTGATAATTAATTCACAAGCTGAACAAGATAATCAACAAATTGATGGTATGTTATTAATTATAAACATAAATGAATTTATAAAGTTTTCTATTTAGATATTTATAATCAAATTCGTTCTGATTTAAAGTTATTCGAACACAATGATGCACCTGTTTATAATGTAACTAACTTTTATCATATATGAACTATTATCATTCTTCAACATTTCAGTATGCTGATCGTAAAGTTACTGTTTTTGGTTCATTGTTTAATTCTCTTCCAATGGATATATTTAATCCTGACCTACATATATTAGGTCGAGAAGTATGTGAAAAATATTTATATCTTAATAACCATTGAATAATAATTCTAGTATTGTAATATCACAAAAATAAAAAAGTCATTAGCGTGTTCAATTATTGTTGAATCATTAACTGGTACAATGGTTGATTCATTTATGGCATATAGATATCGTTTTATAATACAGTAAGTTAAATTTTTTTTTCAAGTTGTTATAGAATTGAAATATTATTAATGAACATGAAAATAAATTTTTTTTTTCAATAGCAATGAGAAACGAACTACTTTGGATTTTGCGGTTATGCAAATTCAAGCACTTGTACACCAAGCACAACATAGTTATTTTATGATGTATAGTATAAAAATTGGACGAACGCTAGGCATTATAAAACAAATGGAAACTGGTAAGTGTATTCAATGGAGAGCGAAATAAAAAATATTTATTGAGATAAAAATTTAGGAACATCAAATCAAGAGGAATATTCATCATCTACAGCATATAAACCTACTTGTAAACGAGTATGTAAAGAAAATATTATCATTGACTATATATAGTAATATTATTGTGTATTAGAAACGTACTGAAGATGAAGAACAACAGCTAACAATAAGTAATATAAATTAAATAAATTTCTTAAAATTTGATTTATTCTCATTTATTTAGGTCAATCAATTTATGATTCTGATCAAACTGATGATGATGACGATGATGAAATAATACTCGACGACATACGGTATGGATCTCAAGACTTTGTTTCAAATTATAGTTAAAATAATTCTTCAATATGGGACAATTCTGATCATATTTCATCTCATCTATCATCCCATCACTTGTAGATCCTTTTTTTCCTGTTATACTATAAGACTAATCGAGATGAGTGTATATTATAATAAAGTTTATTTATTAAAAGTAAAAAAAATAATGAATATAGTTTATCAAGTCATTCATTTATATGGGTACTTCGTAGACGCTTGGTAGTCTATGTCAGATGTACTCTAAAAGGCGCTTGGTAGCCTCAATGAAATTGGTATATGGAATCATGAATCTTGATGTTAATTGATTGCTACGAAAGAAAATAGTAAAATCGAAATTGATATCGATGGTAATAATACTTGGTATTGATATCAGCTTTGTCATTACGGATAGAAAACTTGGAGATATAGAACAAAGCAGAGTTAAGATAATATTTTGTTTTGAAAAATCAAAAAATGACATGTTAGATAATATTTGATTTGTCTAACTCACTAACAAAGGAAGTTGCGCAAGGGATAAATTACTTATAAGTCGAGACTGCATTATGTAGAACCAAATGAGCTCTAAATTCTCTCAAAACACGAGAAAAATTTATATTCGAATTCCGATTTGAAACTTTACACATAGGCAGGTCTCAACGAGACTAGTTTTCTTGTGAATATTTCAGATCTTATTATTGCTTCTATCTTAAGATACCGTCTTGATGAAGGATTGTCTTCTCCATTGCTTACATAGAATGCCACATTCGATGTTTTTATTTAAGAACGGAAGCAAATCAGAATATCTGAATCTCTCACAATAAGCTGACAATATGTCTCTGCACAAAGTACAATGAAAACTTGGCAATCAGTTTTCTTGCTGTTTCTGAGGAGGTCTAAGGTATCTATTTAAAAACTACCGTGAATTTACAGTATGTCTGCCACAAATAAGCTAAGATCCTCAACTTATCAATAGATCGAAAATTTATTGACGTTTTCATGATACACATAGTCTTGAGTCAAAAGCCTGTATTCTATTAGCGAACTTCCCTCATAATCATATAATTAATCGAGTAATTTCGATGAATATTTGGGAACATAGTTCTTGTTTCTTGTATATTATAGGAAAAATTATCTGTGCTAGAAGAATCTATTTTACTTTATATAGTTGCAATAGGTAGAAAGAAAATGATTTCTATAGATATTTTGTTTTCAATTCGGTTGTTAGAATTAAAAAAGAATAAAATATGAGAAAAAGACAAACAATGTAACATACAGATATAAAACTATATATTATTAATAAATGTCTTTGTTCAATGATGGATATTAGATTGAAAACTATGCAATAAATCAATTTAGAATTATTTCATATACTTGAACAAAAACAAAAGAATCCTATTTCTACACAAAATTGATTGGTTTTAACTTTTTTTTATTATTTATACATATAGAGAACAACAACGTCAAGCAGCTCAACGTCTTCTTAATCGTATATGTGCACGAATGCAGGCTCGTGCACGAAAAGATACATTAGAAGAAGCTCATGAAGATCCAACAACAATCAAATCTTATTTTCGTACGACGAGTTCAACAAAAGCAACCACGAATGATTCAGAATGTGCAATAGACTTAGTAGAGCACGAGATAAATTTACATAAATATGGCATTAAAGGCCACAAATAGGAATGTGCAGTTTCGGTGAAAACAGTGAATTACTGACAGTGACACACTGACACTGAGCGCACTGTTTGCAGTGACACACTGACGCTAAGCGCACTGTCTGCAGTGACACTGAGTGCACTGACTTCAGTGTCTACACCGACATTAGGGTGGGTGTGGGTGTGGTGTAGGTGTGGGTGGGTGTTGGTGTGGGTGTAAGTGGGGTGTGGGTATGGGCGTGTCGGTGTGTGGGTCGGGGTGGATATGGGTGTGGGTGGGTGTGGAGTGTAGCTGTGGCTGCGGTTGTGTGAATATCTACCTTCACCCACACTCCACACCCACACCCCTTCCAGTATCCGTCAGTGTGATTTTATCGGTGCTCAGTACACTGAAACTGCACATCTTTAGCTACAAATGTACATTAATATTCAATAAAAGCTTAAAAGTGGGTGCTGATACAGGTGATCGTTTAAAAAAGAATGCCAAACTACTCGCCTACGAAGAACTCAAAAGTTTGACAAGAAAGACACCAAAAGATAATCTGGTGTTGAAAAAGACACGGGATAACTTCTGGAAGGTGGCTATTAAACTTATGAACAAAAAATAAAAATATGTACGCTCATTATTATGCCGTTTCTCTTTTTACGACAGAATGATAGAAAAGTTTTTTTTTTTTGGTTTTCTTTTTTTGTTGTTTTTGTTGTATCCATAGAACTTAATCAATAAATGAATATATATATATATACATTTTGTTGTTCTTTGATTAATGAAAAATGATTAAATATAATAATGAAAACAATTCATCGATTTTAAAAATCAATGAACTTTATCAAATAATAAATCTTACAGAAGAAAATTTTACCAAAATATGATTCATCAAGTAAATAAACAAAAAAGAAATAAATTAGATTTTAATTTTAATTCGAATTTTATTTATAGTTATCTGATGAAAATGAACGATTACAAAAGCAAGTTATTGTATTAGAACATCATGTACAATTAATTGAAGAACAAAGTTCAATAGAAAAAGAAACCTGTCCTGAAGAAGTTGATGTAAGTAATATATTAAATACATACTTGTATCACCACTAAAAGTTTGTTTTTTTTTTTTTTTTACAAATCCAGTGTACGAAATCATCTACATTATCTTTGGATGTGTTACTTAGTAATTTAATCAAACAAACTACTGCAATAGCAGAAAATACGTCAACAAATTTGTTTGATTTATTTCAACGTTTAAGTGAATCACTCAGTGATCTTGTTAATCATGGACATGAATATGTGAAACAGAGATGTCCATCGCGGCGCTGCCGCGATGGCCTGTGGCGGCAGCGGCAGCGGCAGGTTTTTTAAAAAATCATCGCGGCAGCGGCGCGGTAGCGGCAGGTTTTTTAAAAGACCATCGCGGCAGCGGCAGGATTTTTTTTGAGAACATTGAAAAACTGCATGAATTTAATAGAATTTCAGGGTTTACAAATGAAACACCCCGAGACTGAATGAATCTGATGGACTAGTACCAATATCTCTGGTCAAATATAGTCGCAGCAGTGAAATTAGAAACACTTTTTTGTAAACCGCCGCGGCAGCGGCGCGGCGGCGTCACGTTTATTTTATAATTCATCGCGGCAGCGGCGCGGCAACGTTTTTTTTTATAAGCCATCGCGGCGCGGCAACATTTTTTTATAAACCGTCGCGGCGCGGCTGCGGTACGGCAGCTTTTTTTTTCTAAGGCCGCGGCGCGGCAGCGGCAGATTTTCAGCCGCGATGGACATCTCTGATGTGAAACAAAGTAAACAAAAATTATCTGATATTTCTCGTTCACAAGCAGCTGAACAAGTTCAAATGGCATTACGTTGTGGTGTTGAACATCTTTCTTCATCATTTTCTAAAGCACAGTCAACATATGCTACATGAATTCGATCACGTGCACAACATCGTGAACAAGCTCGAATGAATCGTGCTGAACAGGAACGAGAACAAAAAGTTAATCAAAATCGATGGCGTTGGACATTTCAACGTAGTCATGATCGTGAACAAATGCGTCATCAACTACCAATAATAAAAATACATTCATCAAATAAAGAATATGTTTGTCATTTTCAATATGCATTTTCGAATAAACCTTTGTCATCAATAAAAGATTGGATGGCAAAATTTTTTCGATCATAAACATAAAAATAAAGTGACATTTAAAAATTGATTGTTTTTTTTTGCGTATGTGTGTTTTTTCATTTCCTATATTTATCCAAAAATAAAGCATCCAAGTGACTTATGTACTAATCTCTTTTTTGATGTTTCTCATATAAATAAAGCTATTTGAATTTTAAACTTTTTTTTTTCATCTGTAAATTTAAAACAAGTGCCAGTAAAGTTTTTTTTTTCAAAATAAAATTATTTTCCTTTTTAAATATAAATATAAAAATAAAACCAAGATTATCATTGTTGTAATTTTTAGAGGACTACTACTAATGGAGTAGATGTAGATGATGATGCATTTGATGCTGATGGTGATAGATAGGATACACTTGTACTACCATCTGATGTACAAAAAGTGATTGATCAAGTGAGATTATTATTTTCTTAGTGTCGTATTCCTTTTATTGTGTAAAGAAAAGTCTGTACAAACATTTGAGTTCAATAGGACAATTCCTACGAGAGAGGTTTAATCAAGGAACCGGAAACGGAAAAAAAATGAACTTACGAAATGCAAAGAATATTTATTCGGTTTTTGTTCCGTAGAATTGAAAATTTTTCATTATTAGAAGATGTTCATTCTTAAGGATGGACGAACTCAGTTTATTGACTCAACAAAAGGGATCCATGAGAAGTCAAATTTATTCCGTTTTACTTTAATGCTTTTCAAGTGACTATGACTTTCATGTTTTTCATCCTTTAGTTCTTTTGGATGTGGATGTATGGGCATGGTTCCTTCAACTACACGCACACTTAAATGGATTAAAAGGACGAAGATGACCAAAATATCCTTATAGTTTTAAAAGGTATGTAAACATAAAAATAAAACAGAATAAGTTTGATTTCTCAGTGTAGTTAGTGCTCCATTGGCACCGGTGTTTACTGAAGCATAGAAACATACCGCCATAAAAAAGAGGCGTAATCTGATAGAGCTCATGTCTGAATGTTGCAACGAACATATATGTCAATGTAATCAGTGAACCCTGTGTCGGTGGTTCACTGTTCAGTATTTATACTAACACTGTATTCACATTCACTCTTATCCGATAACGCAAAAATTGTCTAGAATATTTCCATTACAGTTTTGTTTGCACAACTATCACCGTAGTATTTTTATCCATAATAAAATTCAAGATTTTTTTTTTTTGGTGTTTTCAATCCAAGATTGTCACTGCCTTAAAGAATTTTAATTAGATAAATCAATCTTATAAGTTTGATAATTTATTTTTTTTTTTGTGTATAGATATTGCCAAGTACAGATGAAATAGATCGAGTTGATTTTAATCCAGTTGATTATATAAATCAATTATTTCCAACTGAACAATCTCTAGCAAATATTGATGAGGTTATTGGAAGTGTTAAGTCAAAGGTACGTTCATTGGATACTGATATTCGTTTTACTATACGTGCTCATTCCGATATAGAAATTGATGAACATAAAGCATTAGTTAAAGTACAAAATTCAATATTATTATTATTATTTCAACAAATGCGTGAAATTAAAGATAAAGCTAATAAATCAGAAGAAATGGTAAAAATAAATTTATTGATTACATTTTCTGAATCAAAATTTCTTCAAATTCTTAGGCTAAAGAAATAACACGTGATATAAAACAACTTGATGTAGCAAAAAAGAATCTTACAACTTCAGTAACAACACTGAATCATTTACAAATGTTAATTGAAGGAATTGATAAAATTGAGTAAATATAAAAAAAGAATTTTTTTTTCTAGAATTGCTATAAAAAAGAAATCTTATGGTGATATAGCAAATTTACCTCATCCGGTTATAAGTGTATTAGAACATTTTCAACCATATATGAACATTCCACAAATACAAGAATTATCTGCAAAGTAAATAAATTGACTTTAGCTACTTTTGATCATCAAAAAAAGATACATTGGTTCTTATCCAGACCAATGATATCCTTAACTAATATTCGCGTCAGAATTAAAAATGGATCGGTGTAACCTTAATAACTCGAAAATGGCAGCAGTTAGCGACCTATGGTTTTCAGCAAGAGAAATAAGAGACCTGCGAATATCTTTTTGTCTCATACTATATAAGACAAAATTATTTTAACATCTATCATATTTTGAGAAGATTCACAAAAATGATGTTCTGTTTCGATGTAATTTTGATATTGACATGTGCTACTGATAGACAGACTTCAGATCTATAGCTCAATGCACGGTTCAGATGATTATCTTCTTACATTTTAATGTTGAACAAACGAAATCATGTATCTATTCAGTCAAATTATATGAATTTTTTTTTGACTTCTAGCAAATATTTTGACTTTTTATCGAAAGTTTTTGACATGAAACTACATTTTCATGCATTTTTTTTGAATATTTGGGTTTTAAAATAGGGTTATCTTATATAGTATCAGACAAAAAGATGTTTGGATTTCTGAAAATCGCAAGCCACTGGCCGTTGCTGTTGTCGAGTTATTGAGCTTACCCCACCTCTCTTTAATTCTGGCGCAGATATTAATTAGTGTAATTGACAGTGCGTAACACCATAGAGTGAGAGTGAGGACAGCAAAGAATGTCAGGGTGAGGTTGTCGTCGACCTAGAACAGACTCTACATTTTATTGACAAATAATAATGTGAAATGAATGCTGAAAAAAGTTGCTGATCAAAATTACTATCACCTAGTAAATTTCTTTATACAAAAAAAAAAATTATTTTATTTAGTGTTAAAGAATTAACTGTTCAAATAACTGTACAAGTTCGAAAAGAATGTGAAGATGCATTTAATGGTCCAAATGCGAAAGTTAGTTATTCAAGATCTTTTTTCAGTCCATTACCTTTTTTATTTTTTATATAAAATTTTACTTCAAATCAACATTTTTCAGATGTATGTAAAATAATTGATGTTATTGATCCTAAATTAAGGTTTGTTATTTAAATATTTGATTGTTAGCATTCAGTATTTTTTTTTTGTTTTGTTCTCTTTAGATTAGAAGTAATAAATTGGTTTTTAAAAACACATCTATCTGAATATACAATATTATATCAAGAATCTCAAGAAATAATTATAAAAAATAAAATAAAATAATTGTTTTATTTCTTTTTTGTTTTAGTTAACATGGTTAGATAAAATTGATCGTCGACATGCATGGTTAAAACGTGCACTTGTTGAATATGATGAAAAATATTCACGAATATTT